CCAGACTGATCCTTCCAGGCACTGAAATAGGGGATGTGGCCTTGAACTAGGTAGCTACATTCTGTGTCCTCAAGGGGCTTACTTTGAGTGAGTTGGGGAGACAGACAAGTACCTGGCAATTTCATCAGTGTACCTGCTGGGAGGGGGGCCTGGGGAGCACAGGGCGGGGGCCCAGGGTGTGGGTGGAGCGCCCCAGAAGGCCTTGGAAGCTGGTGCTGGGGTTGGGGGAGCATGGTGTATGACATAGGATGGGCCCAGGGCTGTGATAGACATTGTGGGCTGGCATTGGGCAACATTCCCCACACTTCTTTGAAGCTACAATTTGGGATGTGAATTATGTCCCCCTTTGAAAGAGTAAAGTTTGGAGGGAGGAATAAAGAGGAGGGAAATATTACTGTGTGGGCTGTGGAGATATGGAGTCTTCTGCAGCACATCTAGCATCCAGTCACCAGCTTTGTGAGGGTCAAGAGGCAGGGATGGTAGTAGAGGGGCCTCTTGCCCCTGGATCACAGCTCAGGCGTTCAGGTGGGGCCTCCTGATTCCCCATCCCACTGATCAGGCCAGAGGCAGGCAGTTCAGTCGTGTTTTTCCAGGAGGTCCTGCCCAGAGCCAGCTCTTCCAGTTCTTCCAATGGTTTTGTAAGCACCTAATTTTCAGTATTAAATATTAAATCTCTTTCTACCTAAAACATAAGCATGCCCCTCCACTGTTCAGAATCCTCCAGGGGCTCCCATCTAACAGAGTGAAAACAAAGTCTTCACATAGGCCCTGCAATCTTCCCCCTCCCCCATCCCCCTTGCCTCCTACTTGTTGCTCTGCTTCTGCCACACAAGCCTCCTCGATGTTCCCTAGACCTTCCAGGCATTAGGGTCACCTCAGGACCTTTGCACTTGTCATTCTCTATGCCTGATGTGCTCTCTCGCTAGACATCCTCAGGGCCTGCCTTCAAACTGCCTTCAGGTCTCCCCCTGTTCAGTGTTACCTGTCCACACTATTTAAAATTGCATGTCTTCCTCTGCAGTCCCTCATCCACCTTACCATGTTTTTCCCCCATAACACTTACCAGTTCCTAACATGCTATATAATTCACTTTTCTACTGAATCGGGACTATTCTCAATGAAAGTGATATGTATTGCATTTTCTGTCCGGTCTCCCCAGAGCAAGTCTAGCTCCATGAAGGCAGGGAATTTTATCTGTTGTGTTCACTGGGTCTCCCCAGGGCCTGGCTCAGTGTTCAAGCTCAAAAAATGTGTTGAATGAAGAATGATTAGCCAGAGTTATCAGCAGAGGCCAAGCCACAGGGCAGCAGTTTAGAGACCTGTTCCCAAACTTCAAGGCAGGGAAAAGGGCAAGGAATCCAGCAGATTGTCATGGGAGTGATCAAGTTGCCCAAACTGAGTGAGACAGGGCTTCTGCACCTTACAGAGACATCTGTTTTTTGTCTCAGTAGGTTAACATCATTGCACCATCATTATCAAGCGATCTCCTGGGTTAGGACTCACTTCTAGCAGGCATTACTTTTAGATTGTATAGTTTGCCACCAATCATGGGAAGCTGTTTTCTTTTCTTTCCCCTTGGTCTCAGGTTTAGTCATCAGAAGCTGGCAGCCACCTGACAACCTTCTTGGCCCTTTGGCTAGGGCAGACTAGCTGGGTTGCTTGTTGGTGACTGGACAGTGGTGGCAGCTGACCAGAGTGTGCTTGGGGAGAGTGTAAGATTTACATTTTGCATGGAACAAAAATCCCTTTGGTCTAAACTGACCATGTCCAGTACAACAGTCTCTGGGGGGTAAAATGCCCCCAAACATGCTGCCTCCTCCCACTCAGGAATGGCTGAAAATACACACCCTGTAAAGTTGTGCAGGGAGGGGATAGCTCAAGCGGTAGAGCACATGCTTAGCATGCATGAGGTCCTGGGTTTAATCCCCAGTACCTCCTCTAAAAATAAGTAAACCTGATTCCCCCCCAACAATAACAACCACAAAAGTTGTACAGCCTGTGAAAGCCCAGACCGCGCCAGCCAGTGGAAGGAAGTGTTAGGGCGGCAACTGCGGGCCTGTGGCCGCTTCTCTGCGGGCCTGTGATCGCATTCTCTGTGGGCTAGGGTGTATTCTGGAGCCCTTGAGGCCCTGGGCTGGGTTGGTCTCCCCTCTGCCACGTGCCTGCTGGGACTGGATGTCCATGTCAGCTCATCTACCAGCTGTAGGACTTGCGGACTCAAGTCCTATAGCTTTAGCCACCCACTCCCACCCCTGTCACACTTTGGGAACAGCAACGGGCCTCAGGTCATATCAGGAGATCCTCAAATGGTCTTTGACTTCTGTTTCTCTTGTCTCTATTCCTTTCCAAGTGGTACAGGAAGGGGAAGGGGAAGAGTGACCCCTGGGGCCTTTAAAAGTGACCTCCCCGGTAACTAGTTGCGGGGAAGCTCCCTTCTACCCTAACTCTGGGGTGGCCTGAGTCCCGCCAGTTTCCTTCTGCCTCTGGAAGAGGACGCTGCTCCCAATGGGGAGATATGCCCTAGGTCACATAGTGCTCTGTCCCCTCCAGGCCACTCTGAACCCTCATCTGGAACTTTTCTTAGGGTCAAGAGTGTGGCCCTGGGGTCTCCAGACTGGGAATGAGGGGGTGAGGGTGGGTGCTTCCTACCAGATCCCAGAAGCACATGGGATGCCGGGCAGGACACACAGCCCCACAGGCCAGAGTCAACTGGGAAAGGAAAGTAGGGTGGAGGTCGAAGGGCAGGGGGCCTGGGCTGAGGCAGAGGTGGGCTGGGGGTGTGAGGAGGAGCCAATACCAGCCCCAGGATTCGCCAGAATCCTCCAGGGCTTTGTTTGGTTCCTCTCCACACCCGGAGCCTAGCACCAGGCCTGAGGGGGCCTTGGCGCTCAGCAAAAGTTTGGTGAATGGATGGATGAATGAGAGCGAAAGGGGCGGGGGAGGGGCGGAGGAAGTGGGTAGCTGGGGGGAGGGGAGAGCAGCGGGGTGGGGGAGGGGAGGTAGCCACTGGCGGGAGAGCAGAGGAGGAGGGAGGCGGGCAGAGCTGGGCGAGCCTGCTGGTCTAGAATCCGGCTAGAAGGAGATGGCGGCGGCGGGGAGGGGCCCAAGAGTTTCCCCTTCCCACCAACCTGGCTTAAACCTCGTTACAACCTGCTCCCCCGGCCTCCAGGCCTCTCCCCAACCCCATGAATCCTAGGGGTCGTCTGTCCTCTAAGGCCTTGTCCTCACTGAATTGAGTGGCCGGCTTTGTTTTCTTACTTTCTTTATTAATTTTCCAGCCACTAGGGGGTTGGTGGCCCTCTGGGACTAGAATACCTGAGTGGCCCTGGGGCAGTCTGATGGCAAACCCAGACTTGGACCCTCCTCCTGGCTCCTGTCTCCCCACCGTTGCCTTATTTCTGAGATCTGGATGATGGGGAAATAATAGCTCCTGGGATGTGGGCAGCCTCGGAGAGTCTGGAGTGGGTCTCTAGGGGTAGAGGGGTGAGCCTGTAAGCAGAGAAAACCCGAAGTCTTGCCCTGCTGGCAGCTGCCAGGGACTACTGCCGGAAGCATTGGAACTCGATGTGGGCAGTGCCAGGCAGGAGCTGCTGACAGCCAGGTTTCTGGGTCACCATCCAGGGTGCCCTGCCAGTTCCCAGGCCTTGGGAGTGGAGTGGAGTGAGGGTGGGTCTGCATCCCAAGCCTGCTTCCTCCTTTGTCTGGGTGCTTCTGGGCCCTGCTCCCCTCTCCCACTTCCAGCCTTGCTGGGGCATCTGGAGCCCCAGTGTCCCCCAGCAAGTCCCCCAGCAAGGGACTGATTGTTGATTCTCAAACTTCCTTTGGGTTTGTGGGCTGCGGTGTATAAAGGTGATCCAGAACCCCTCCTGTTCTCTATCCTCTACCCCTGTTCTCTGGGCTCCGTCCACAGTTCCTATGCATCCCTTTTTCAGGCAGTTTTGCTTGGTGGGAAGGGGCTTTGGGGGCAGGATGGCTTTCATGGGCAGAAATCCTTGTTTCTAAAGAAGGAATTCATCTTCTCAGTACGGTAAGCTTAGCACCTGGTGCCCCATCCATCTCAGCATTGGCCTGGTCCAGTTTAAGGTGTTGGCTTGGCTCTCTAGAAGTCAGCAATACTTTTATCCCAAGAGCTCAAAGTACCCATCACACAGTCAGTGAAACAGAGATTCAAAGAGGTGAAGTATCTTGCTGTTACAAGGGGTAGAAATGGATAAAAGATGGAGGGTCTAGGGGTGTGGGTGGGGGGCTAGGCAGTATTTGGTGGCCACTAAGTATTAGAGGTGGAGGGGATGTGACTCAGGTTGGGAGGCTGTGTGCTCACCACTGCTACAGACAGCTGGAGGAGGTGGGGACAAAAATAACATCTACTACTCCCATCCACACAGGAGGAATTGTGTCCCCACTTCATAGGTGAGGAAATTGAGGCTCATCTGTGAGGTCAGAAGACTTGCCAAGGCCAGTGGCAGAGCCAGGAATCAGAATGTATGCAGTCTCAATTTTCTGAATCCTGCCCCACCCCACTGAGCTCACCTCAATCCCTACTCTGCTCTACTTTTTTTTATTCCATCACTTTATCTAACATCTAGACTGTGCTGTCCACCACGTTGCCACTTGGCACAGGTGGCAATCCAGCACTTGAAATGTGGCGAGTCCAAATTTAGAGGTGCTGGAAGCACTATAAAATCCTCACTGGCTTTCCAAGGCTAAGTATTTTGAAAAATGTAGCAATACTCACTAATATTCTGTGTATGATAATATTTGGGTGTATTAGATTAAATGAAATCTATTATTAAAATTAATTTCATGTGTTTCTTTTTACCATTGTAATATTTAACACTGCATGTGTGCCTCCTATTTTGTTTCTGTTGGACAGTGCTAGTTCTAGATCATTTGTTTATTAATTATTATTTATTGTTTCCCCACCCACCCCCAGAATGTCAGCTCTTGGATGGCAGGAGTTGACATATTTTGCTCACTGTCTTGTTTTGTCCACTGTTGTATTTCAGGTTTTCAGAGCCTGGCGCTGTATTTTATTATAGGTGTTCAGTAAATATTTGTTTAGTTCAATGGAGCCAATCTGATTCCAGGTCAGTCTCTGAGGGTTAGGAGGGGAGCCTGAGGGAGGGGATCTTTCATCCCTACAGGACCCCAGGTTGCCCATCTCCTCTACCACCCCACAGGGTTTGACATGGTGATCTGGTTTACCCCCAAAGGGTCCTTCTTGACACCCTGCTCCCCAGTGCGTGTGGGCACATGGGTCTGGGGTCTAGCTGCAGGTGAGCGATGCTGGAAGCTGGGAGAGGGGCTGCTCTGTGGAAGGAACAGACTGTAAGAGCCGCTGGGACCCTTGATGCTAGCCCCCGACCCGCCCCGACAGGGGAGTCCCTGCGCGCCCACCCTCCGGAGCCGCCGGCCACGCACCTGGGAGCCACGCAGGGAGGGCCCACGGCCTCGGTGGGCTGGGGGTGTGCGTTGTCTGCGGGGAGGGTGTGGGGTGTGTCCGGCTCTGGCTCACACAAGGTCACTGTGTCAAAGGAGCCTTCCGAACACTTTCTCTTTCCCTGCGATTCGATTGCGGCTCCGAAAGCCCCTTCCGTAGGGACTTCCCTCCGCGCCTGACTCACGCTGCCTCATGCGTGTGACTCAGGCTGGGCGCCGCGCCAGCCCCGCTCTCCCCGCCCCCTGGCCCTGCCACCGCGCCTGCCGCAGGGGCGGAGGACGGGCCGGCGACAGGGGGCGGGGCGTGCGGGGACCGGCTGCCCCTGCGGAGAGACGGGGAGACTGAGGCTTTGGCAGAGGTGGGGGGCTGTGGAGGAGGAGATGGGAGACGGAGGGGCACAGGGGTACAGGCTCCAGAGAAACTGAGCTCCGGGGGTTGGATGAAAAGTCAGAGCCTGCTGTAGGAAAGGCCGAGAGAAAGACCGAGAGACCGAAAGAGAGAGACCAGGAGACTGAGAAAATGGGAGAGAGAGATAAAGTCGAGAAGGACACAGAGACAAGAAAGGGAGAGCCAAAAGCCTTCACGGAGGCCAAGGTGAGAGGATCGACAAGTGACAGGGAGAGGAAGGGAGGAGAGCGCACGGAGACAGAAGCGCGTGGGTGCTGCCGCCCTGAGTCCTGCTAACACCTTGGGGCTGACGGCCTGTCCCGGCAGGCTGGGCGGAGGGACCGTCGCCCCGGAGCCTTGCGGTTCTCTCCCAGCTCCGCCTCACCAAGCTCTGTGAACAGCGGGCAAGTTACTTCTTGTCTCTGGGCCTCAATCTTCTCATCTGCAAAATGGGAGGTGGTGGAGGAGCATAATTCGATCTCCCCGTGCTTGTTATTTTCCCTTCTTCTGCCGCCCTCACCCTCTCCATCCAGCCCTGCTCTGATCTGCTCTGTGCTTGGAAGGCTGGCCCCTTGGCCTGCATCCCTGGGCCTCCACGCCAGCTGGCTTTCTGTTGGGCAGTACCCACTTGCAGGAGATCTGAGAGAAGCTGGGATACGCCTTCCTCTGCCCTGGGCCTGCCTTGTCTCCTGGTCTGGCTGCAGCTGTGTCCCTCCTTGATAACAGCTCTAGGAACGTAGCATCTGCTCCTTGCCCTTTCAGCCTTGGGAATCACAGTGACTTTCTGCCATTGTTGGTCCCAGGGCCACACCACTCCTCATCGATTCCCTTCACTCCTCACTAAAGACCCCTGGAGTCCCTGGGTTGGGTCTCATTTTCTGCCAGGGCCCTGACTGCTACCCTGCAGGGCTAGCACTCTGAGGCAGCACAGCACTTGGCACCTAGGAAGTCACAGCTCTTATCATTACCCTGCTCCTTCCTTTCAAGGGTAGGGGGTGGGCAGAGATGATACCCTCAGCAGAATGATATACAACATTAAAAAGCACTCAGATACCTATTAGCTCTTTAAATCATCACAGTGAGTTTGTGAAACACATGTTAGGTTATTAGCTTCATTTGGATGAGAAACATGTGGCTCATGCATTCTGGAAGGAACACAACGGAATAAGAATAGTGACAGCGGGGCTTCTTCCTATGGGTGACAGGCCGGGTTAGGGAGGGGCAGCTATGAATGACAACAATAATAGTAGCTAAGATATATTGATAACATCTCAAGTGCCAGACACAGTTCTGATCTACTCTTATTAACTCACTTAATCCTTACAACAACCCTATGAGGCAGCTGCTATCCTTACTGCCATTTTACAGTTGTAACTAAGGCATGAGAGGTTGAGTAATTTTCCCAAGGCCACACAGCAGGGCTGGGCTGGAACGCAAGTCAGTCTCGCTCCAGATCAGCCACTCTAAACCTCTTCTGGGTGCCCCCTTGGGTACCTGGGGGAGGGGGAGCACACCTGTATTTCAGGCTGAGTAGACAGCATGGGCAGAGCCTTGAGGGGAAAGAGCTTTTGTCGTGGGTTTCAGAAATAATCAGCCATGTTGTCGTGTCTGGGGTAGGAGAAGAAAGCAGCAGAATTTGACAATCATGGGAGTAAGTGGGAGCTGATCTTGGGGAAGCTACCTTTCAACCAGGGGCATGGACTTTATTCTGAAGGTAATAGGGAGCCATGCAAGGTTTTCAGCAGGGGTGAAACAGGTTGCCATTTTAGGAAGGATTACTTTAAAATGCAAGGGAGATACTGTTTTTCTCCTGTTAAATGGCAAAGAGGTTTAAAGTGATAATTCCTAATGCTGGCATCGTTTCAGAGCACTGATTGCTCTCATATGTAGCTGATGGGAAAGAATTGGTTTGACCTTTCTAGAAAGCAGCTGAACCATGAGTAGTACTTGAGGAGGGTTCGGCCCTTTGACCTGCTAATCCCATTTCAAGGAATCTCTCCTCTGACCTAATTGGAAAAGGGGTCAGAGATTTATGTCCCAGAATCTGAAATTTATTCTATCATTAATAATAGTAGTAGTAATAATAAAAGGAAACAATATAAATTCCAACAGGAGGGAATTGCCAAAATAAATTAAGAGTGAAGCATCATGAAATGCCTTAGAGTAATTAATAAAATTTTTTCAAAGAGAGTAAATGCATCAGAAAGGCTAAAGACATCTAGAACTCTTAAAAGTAATGAGTTCATCATGACCGCAGGGTACCAGATTAACCCACAAAAATCAATCACATTTCTGTATGCTAGCAATGAACCATTGGAAGCAAATTAAAAAGACAATAGCATTTGTAATGGCTCCAAAAAGAAACAAACAAACAAACAAAAAAAGCTTGGGTATACACCTAACAAAACATTCACAGGATGTCTAAGCTGAAAGCTATAAAATGTTGATGAAAGAAATCGGAGCTCTAAATACACAGTGAAACATACCATGTTCATGGACTGGAAGACTCAACATAGTAAAGATGTAATTTCTCCCCAAACTGATTGTATTAGTTTCCTCGGGGCTTCCATAACAAAGTACCACAAGCTGGGTGCCTTAAAACAGTGGAAATTTCTGTCTCACAGTTCTGAAGTCTAGAGGTCTGAAATTAAGGTGTCAGCAGGACCATGCTCTCTGCATCCTCTCTGGGAGGGTCCTTCCTTGCCTCTTCCAGCTTCTGGTGATTTGCCCACAATCCTTGGTGTTCCTTGGCTTGCAGCCACAGCACTTAAACATCTGCCTCTGTTGTCATACGTGTTCTCCCTGTGTGTCTATCTCCTCTCTTATAGGGAGCTCGTTGTACTGGATTAAGGACCCATCCTACTCCACTATGACCTTATCTTAACTAATTATATCTACAGTGTCCCTATTTCCAAATAAAGTCACATTTTGAAGTGATGTATTTGGCTCAGGTTAGGATTTCAACAGATTTGGGGGGCACAGTTCATAAAACTGATCTATAGATTTAAAACAATTCTGATCAAATCCCAGCAGGAATTTTTGGAGATACAGACAAGCTGATTCTAAAATTTATATGGAAAAGCAAAGACACTAGAATAGCTGAAACATTTTTGAAAAAGAATAAATTGGAAGAATGACATTATCTGATTTTAGGACTTAAAAAACAATAACAGGGCTTGCAACATTAATCAAGACTGTTGTCCTGTCAGAGGAATGGACACAGATCAATGAAACAGAATAGAGAGCCCAGAAATAGACCCACATAAATATGACCAATTGATTTTGACAAAGGTGCAAAGCTCTTCATGGAGAAAGGATAGTCTTTTCAACAAATGGTGCTGGAATAACTGGACAGCTATATGCAAAAAGAGTGAAACTTGTCCCAAATCTCCCACATTATACTAAAATCAACTCAAAATGAATTATAGATCTAAACATAGAACCTAAAACTATAAAATGTCTAGGAGAAAACAGGAGAAAATCTTCATGACCTGGGGTTAGTCAAAGAGTTCTTAAAACATGACATTAAAACTGGGGTCCATGAAAAAAAAATGGATAAATTGGACTTCATCAGTATATCAAAAGTGTCTGTGAAAAACACTGTTACAAGAACTAAAAGACAAGTTATAGGCTGTATTACAGTATTTACATGTCACACATTTGACAAAAGACTTGTAACCAGAATTTATTAAAAATTCTTAAAACAACAGTAGGAAAATGGCCAATTTTAAACAGGCAAAAACATTTGAACAGACACTTCACCCACGGGGACATAGAGATGGTAAATAAGCACATGCAAAGAGACTCAGTGTCACTAGCTATGGGGTCAGTGCAAATTGAAACATCGGTGGCCCCGCAATCCCACTCCTAGATGTTTGCCCTAGAGAAATAAAAACTGTCATTCACACAAACACCTATGGAAGAATGCTGATAGCGGTTCTAGTCATAATCACCCAAATCTGGAAGCAACCCAGACTGAGAGCATGGACACATGAACTGTGGTTCACTGATGGAATACTACCCAGCAGTAGAAAGGGACAAACACTTGCTACACATATTAATGTGGAAGAAAGAAGCCCGTCTCAAAGGATACACACTGTATGGTTCAATACATGGTTCATGTGACAGTCTAGAAGAGACAGAACAACGGTGATGAGAACAGAGAAGTGGTTTCCAGGGCTTTGGGGTGGGGGGAAATAATGCCTATATGGAGGTGGCAAGAGGGAATTTTGGGGGGATGATAGCATGTTCTGAATCCTAACCATGTGGTTGTCTGTACATGTAAAATTCATAGAAATGCACACCAAAAGAAGTCTCTATTACAGTATGATAATTTGAAAAAAACAACTGTATCCAGTTGGGTAACCATGTGATAATGCAAGTATAGCACATTGTTAATGGAAAAATCTAGGTGGTGGATATGAGTGATCACTGAACAATTCTTTTAGCTTTGCTGACTGTTTGAAACTTTTCATAGTAAAATCTTGGAAAAAACTATTCAGAATGATCCAAAGTTTGTTTTTAAAATCTGTCTATTCTTTCTTTCTATCTATCTATCCATCCATCCATCTCACAGGTACAAGTGTAGGAAGACGATTGAAGGCATCGTACCAAAATATTAACAATGGGGATCTTGCTGAAGGGTAAAATTGTGAGTGATTAAAATTGTCTTTATATATGTTTCTGTATTGTCTATAATGAGCATGTATTATTTTATTTGGGAAGAGTATAAATAAGCTATATTGTATTTATTTTAAACATCTTTTTTTCCCAATTACGTGTGCAATCCCTGCTTATTGTAAGGTTCAAATGGTACAGAAGTGTGTGACCCCTAAGGGAAGGTCCTGTGTGCTCATCCCCATCACCGTTAACATCTACATATATCCTAAAGTCTAAATCTTAAGTTTAAGTTCATTTCTTTCAGATTATGTCATCTTTAAAAACCTAAGCAATTCAAACATATTCCAACTTTGTTTCCCATTACAATCACTTAACAGTGAAAGTTTTATATTTACAGTATGTTGTAGATTTGAGGCATACAATCTGAGTTGCAAAGAGGGTGTTATAATTTTTCTTGACTCCAAGAATTGAACCAGAAAAGAGCCTGGTCCTTGGGACATGGGGGTGACCCTTCTTTGTTATTTTAAAGATATGACTATATATATTTGTTTTCCATTTCTTCTGTAACTTAGGTCAAAACCGAATGCTCTTTTGTTGTATGTTTGTGTGTTTCATCACACCAATTATAAAATAATACCTGTGGAGGAAACTGAGGCCAGATTGGAGAGGGACTGAGGCTCAGGGTCACTTCTGGCACAGCCACTCACTCCCTGTTACTCCTCTCTGGGCCTTGGCTTTCTATGCTATATTATTTTTATAATGAAAAGCAAATAAAAGTAATAATAAAACCCTGTTAACTAGGCAGCAGTGTAGGAGAGTGTTGCAAAGACTTCTGGTTATCCCACATGCCTGATCTCTCCTTCTTCCTGAGGACTAGGAACTTCTATATTTTTAGTAGAGTATGTGATGACCCTCAAAATAGACTGTTTCCTTGCCGCTCTTGCTAGATGTGGTCAATGGAAAATAAGCAAAAGGTTTTTAAAGGGAAGGGATGTTTTCTTTTTCTCTGCTTTCTAATGGCTAGACTGTGGACATGATGGCTGGAGCACAAGCAGCTATTTTAGACCATGAGGAAAACTTGGAGAATGAAAGCCACACACTGCAGAGCAACCAAACAGAAAGAGACAGGGTTCCTGACACAGTGGTCTGCCATGCTAACTCTCGACTACCTGCCTCTTGACTTCTTAAATGTGAGAGAGAAATACACTTCTGGCTAGTATAACCCATTGGTATCTTTTTAAATTGAATTATAATTGATATACAATATTAGTTTTTGGTGTACAACATAGTGATTTGATATTTTTGTATATTACAAAATGATCACCAAGAGAAGTCTAGTTACCATCTGTCATCATACAGTGTTGTTACAATATTATTGACTATACTCCCTATGCTGTACATTACATCTCAGTGATTTATTTATTTTATAGCTGGAAATTTGTACCTTTTAATCCTCTTCACCTATTTCACCTGTCCCATTGGTAGTTTGGAATTTTGTTATATGCAGCCTTATACAGGACAGGAGAATCAGTGAGAAGACTGTTTCAGTAACTGAAGGGAGAGATGATGAAGGCCTGAACCATGGTGGGAAGTGATGTAAGAGACATTTGTCTAGGTGTCTAGGACATGCCGGGTTCCCATGCCTGAGGGAGGGACCATTTAAAGGGGGCTACTCATTGCATTGGTCAGGAGTTGAGCAGAAGGTTTGAGCTGGAGAAAACATATGGTTAGCAAGGTAAAAATGCCCACAGTCACATGGCTAGGAGGGCCTGGCCCCTGAATGGAGTCTGCATGAGTTATCTATTGATGAGTAAAAAGTCACTCCAAAACTTAGCAAGAAGGAGTTAGGGGTCTGAGAGCTGCCTAGGTGGGTTGTTCTAGCTTGCGGTTTGTCATGAGATTGCAGTTAAGATGCTGATCAGGGCTGGGGTCGCCTGAAGGCTTGATGGGGCGGAAGGAGCCATTTCCAAGTGGCTCGCTCACAGGGCTGCTGACTCGTGCTCGGGGCGGGGGCTGCCCTGTGCCTGCCTGGTGTTGAAAGCTTTACATGAGTAAAGATTGACGCCACTTCTTGGGGTAAAGGGGGAAGAGGGTGTAGCATAGTGGTGGCCTCTAATAAGTTCCAGGAAGGGCAGTTGGGATGATTAAGAGATGTGCCATCTACACATGGCCTCAGCAGGTGCTCACTAAATGTTAACTCATGGTGGGTCCAGGGCCAGAAGAGACAGCGATTGAAGTCCCAGCTTTGCCACGTAGTTGTGGCGACTCAGTGTCCTCTGCCATCAAATGGGATGCTAATATCCATCTTATAGCATTGTTGTGAGGATTGAAAAAGGAAATACGTGTAAATAGTCCCTGGCACATTGTGATTGTTCAAATCAAGATTTATGAGAATTAATCTCTCTGCTCAGAATTCTCCAGGGGCTTCCCCCTGCTGCGGCACTGAAGCCATTCAAAGCCTCCTCCATCTAGCCTGGCCAGCTGAATTTTAGCCCAGCCCCCAGGGCCTGGTCTCTGTCTCCTTGCACCCTTGTTCCCTCCACCTGACATGTCACCTCCCAGCCCCTTCCTTCTGTTCCTCTTTTATCCAAGCCTTTCCTGGTGGGAGCTCCCACACCAGCCTCACCCTCCTCAGTGCTTTTCAGGACACACCCCCCGCCCTGTTCCTTCTGCCTGGCATCGTGCTGGGCACAGCCTGGGTAGTGGGGGGAGATCCACACAGGAACTGTTTCGATGGTGGGGTGGCTAACTCCACTGAGACAGAGGGACTCTGGGGGCTGGCTGACAGGGAGCAGAAGGGTGCAAGGGATGGCAGGGTGGGGAGGGGGTGCTGTGGAAAGGCTGATGCAGGGAGTGAGCCTGAGCCAAGAGGACAGTTGTGTCCCCTGCCCCCTCCAGGATGTCAAGCAAGTGGTGGGCAGCAGTTGTAGCTTTTTCATCCGCACACTCTAGGTGCGCAGTAGTTACTTTAAAATTGAATTGGAAGAAGGGTCATTTGAGGATTTGAAGGGTAATATGATCACTGCCTTTCCCCCAAATACGCTCCACCAGCTTGTTCAAGGTACCTGAAATTTCCCCGTTAGAATCATATTTGGCTTGAAAATCAGTGTCTTCGGAAAGCTCCCGTTCGGATCTGCACCAGCATTTTCCGTGGGCAGGTAACAGAGCAGCCCATTAGTCCTGATGAACTGATCTGACAAACCATCTGTCACCCATAGCCCTGAGCTACACTGTGAAACCACTGAGTGTGTCACCTGGCTTTGCTCCTCCTCAGGATCCCTCCCACCCCCCAAGCCACCCTAGGTGGTCCAGATTCACTCCCCTGTGAGTAACCCTTCCCCCCAAGGTTGTACAGCCTCCCTTTGTCATAACTTCTCCTGAGGGCTGTCCTCAGGGCCCTGCTGGGGCTTCCCTGGGTGAGGAGTGTGAGGCAGAATAAGCTCCCATGGGCATTTTGAGGGGAAATGGCTCCTGCCTCCAACGTTCTCCCCCATGTACCTCCCCAGCAGAAATACAGGGGTCCCTCCCTCATGCCTACTCCCATGGAATGTAGTAGCAGCTGTGCTGTGGGGGGTGAGATGGCATCACACAGCCATAGAGCTCAGAGCTGGAAGGGACACCACTAAGCCAACTGGTCCAGTCCTCTGCTGTTAGGGAGGCAAGGGACACTTCTCCATGCTTTTAGATAAGGCAACTCCTAACTGAGCTGTATCACCCCATCCCCTGGATCAGGTCAGCTCTGTCTCTCACACTTGAGCTTTTGCACTGGGTGGTTTCACAACACTTCTAAGAGGGAGAGAGGTGTGCTGCACTGCAGCAAGATTCAAGATACCTCAACCTGACATCTTATTCAAATGGCTTCAGCAAGGAGGAAATTTCTGTTTTCTTGTAACAAGGTGACCAGAGGTGTAGTGGTTCCAGTGCTGGTTTTTGAGTGGTTCAACAGCATTATGAATGACTGAGATTGTTTTTAACCTTCATCTCTCTGCCATTGTCAGGGGGTCAATCATGTTTTTCCTCATGGTCACAAGATGGCTGCCTGTCACCAAGCATCACATCTAGATATAACAAACATACAATGAAAGAAGAGAACTTTCCAGGAAGCCACGAACAATTCATCTTCATGTCTCAGTGGCCATAATTACACCGTTGCTCATTCAAAATCCAATATTAGTGCAATATTGGGAGACAGTTCTCCATGGGCCTCTTGTATTTCTCCATGTCTCTCAAGGAGGTTTGTGTAGTGAACAACCTTAAGAAATAGTGTTTTCCTTCAGATAAAAGGGCAGGTTTGTTTAGTTCCTATTTTAAAGGATTCCTAAGCTCAGGGTTCTCCTGTAACACAACTCATGCAGTCAGTAACCATACCTTACTGCAATGGAGGCTGGGAAGTGTAGTCTTTAGCCAGACAGTCGTGGGCTTAGCTGAAATTTCCATTTCTACAGAGAAGGGAGAATGGATATTGGGGCAATTGGCAACCTCTGCCATAGTTACTCCAGTAAAACTGGGCTTCTGTTAGGGAGTCAGGAGGAAAGGTGTTGGAGAAGCAACAATGGTGCCTACACAGTAGGGTTGGTGCCTTGGCCCCATTTTACAGATGAGGAATTGAGTTCCAGAGAGGGAATGTCAAGGCCAGGTATAGACCCCAGGTCTCCCCAGATTAATCCAGAGATTAAATCTGGCCAATTGGATGCAAGCAGGTGTTGTGTTCTTACTCGTGGCTGGGTGGGGCTTCCTTCCTCTTTCCTCCTGATATGAATGCAGACATGATGGCTGACATTCAGGCAGCCATCTTGGGCTATGAGGAGAAAGCCACTGCTGAGGCTGGTGGAGCAACAAGACAAAATGAGTCTGGTCCCTGACACTTATGCACTTCAGGTTTTCCCATCATTTTCCCGCCTCTGCATCAGTACAGGTCAGGTTTGGCCAGAAGGCTTCTTTCTTCTCACTTAGTCCCTGTGACTTCCTTGAATCCTCTCCCTCTTATTGTTCATTTGATCCCTGGTCTCTCTTTCTGTCTCCTTCTCTGCCTTCTCTTCCCAGCCTATCACTGCCAGAGTCCCAGGCCGAGCCTTCTCACTTGTACATGTGTGTGTCCATCTGGCCCGTGGCATCAAATAGCATCTCCTTACCATGAACCCCTCACTCCTGTCTGCCTTTGGGACCACTCTTTGTGCTTTGGACTTGTATATCCAACTACCTGCCAACACCCCCATTTGGGTGTCTTACAGGCACTTCCAACATCATGAGTTCAAAATTGAATTCATGATGTCACCCACGAACTTGCTTTTCTTGCATTCTGGCCAATCTCAGTAACTGTCCCACCTGCCGGTAGTGATCTTGACCTCTTTGGTACCTTCCTCTACTTTATTCACATTTACTCCACCTCTGTAACCCCATGCTTGAATCATTGCTGGAGCCTCCTCCTCCTCAGGCCACCTCAGCTTGCCCCAGCCATTCCTTACCATCTTAAAGTGGAGGTATGATCACATCATTCTTGTTCTTAAAACCTTCAATGGCTTGCCATTATTTTTAGGATAAAGACCAAATTCTTGTCTAGTGTGACAGAGGCTCTAGCCCCTCCCCCACTATTATTTTCTTCTTTAGAAAGACAACCCCTATTTGTACCTGGGCACAAGAGCATTTAAATAAAGACTGCGTATTCCAGCCTCCCTTCTAGCTAGCTGGGGCCGTGAGATTAAATCTGGCCAATTGGATGCAAGCAGGTGTTGTGTTCTTACTCGTGGCTGGGTGGGGCTTCCTTCCTCTTTCCTCCTGATATGAATGCAGACATGATGGCTGACATTCAGGCAGCCATCTTGGGCTATGAGGAGAAAGCCACTGCTGAGGCTGGTGGAGCAACAAGACAGAATGAGTCTGGTCCCTGACACTTATGCACACACCTGCCTACATTTGGGCCTTTCTTATGGGAAACAGAAATAAACTCTGATCAAGTGTTAGTCACTACTTCTGGGTTTTCTCACAGTTGAACGAAATCCCACCCCAATCACATTGCTCCTGCTGCCTTCTGGAGTCTCAGCTTGTGGCCCTTCCCCTTTCCCACACCACTCTAGCCATAATGCTGCTGTTGAGATTCTCCTGTTCTGCCCTGACTCAGGGCCTTTGCATGTGCTCTCCTCTCTGCCTGGATAACAGTTTCCTGGCCATCTCCATCTCATCCTTCAAATCTCAGCTGGGATGTCACTCATGGAAGCCTTCCCTGACTGTGGTGGCATAACTAGGTATTCAATTACCAGATCAGATAGTTG